ATATATCCACATAATGGAATATTATCCAGCTAGAAAAAGGAATGAAGCACTGATACCTGCTACAACATGGATGAATCTTGAAAACATTAAACTAGGTGAATGAAGGCAGCCAAAAAAGGCCATATATTGTATGATTCCATTTATATGAAATGTCTAGATTAGGCAAATTCATGAAGAAAGAAAGTATAGTGGTTTCCAAGGCCTGGAGGAAAAGGAGAATGGGGTACAGGGTTTATTTTGGGGGTAATAAGACTGTTCTGGAATTAGATAGTTGTGATGTTTGCACAACTCTGTTATATACTAAAAATCACTGAGTTGTACACTTTTCTTAAAAGGGTAAATTTTATGGTGTTTCAATTATATCTCAATAAAGCCATTATAAAATATGATCCTGGTTCTACCTCTTACTGGCTGGATGACTTTAGGCAATGAACATAAACCCAAGTAATCTCAGCTATGAAACAGGAATCGTGGGGTCATTTTGACAAATGAGATCGTGAATTTGAAAATGTTTCTAAATTGTAAACTATGCACATTTTGGGGCTGTCACTGGGTTATAAATTTATTATAAATTGGGTTTTGAAAATCTTCTCCTTCTCTATTTTCCATAGCACTAACAAGATCCGGCTACATAGTAATCACTCAAATAAAGATTTATTGAATTGATTCAAAAGCATTATAGTTTTTTCAGTTGTGGTTAAAAAAAAAAAACTCACACGAGATCTACACTTTTGTAAATTTATAAGTATTCTAAGTATATAGTACAATATTATTAACTATATGCACATTATTGTACAGCAGATTTCTACAACTTTTTCATCTTGCATGAGTGAAACTCTGTACTCACTGAACAGTAACTCCCCATTTGATTGCCAGCCCTTGGCGATCATTGTTTTACTTTTTGCTCTGTTAGTCTCACTACTTTAGATACTTCATGTAAGTGGAGTCATGTAGTATTTGTCTTTCTCTGGCTTATTTCACTTAGTACAATGTGCTCAAGGTTCATCTATGTTGTAACATATTAAATTTCTTAAAAATGAATTTCCTTCCTTTTTAAGACTGAATGATATTCCATTGTATGCATATACCACATTTTCTTTATCCATTCATCCATCAGTGGACATTCAGGTTGTTTCTGTCTGGTGGCTATTGTGAATAATGGTGCAATGAATATGGGAATGCAAATACCTCTTCAAGATTCTTTTTTCAGTTCTTTTGGTTAAATACCCAGAAGTGGGATTGTTTGATCATATTGTAATACCATTTTTAATTTTGTGAGGAATCTCCATACTGTTTTCCAGTGTGGCTACACCATTTTACATTCCCACCAACAGTGTACAAGGGTTCAAATTTCTCACTATCCTGCCAATATTTGTTATTTTCCTGGTTTTTCTTTTCAAATAATGGCTATTCTAACAGGTGTGAGGTGATACCTCATTGTGGTTTTGATTTGCACTTCCCTCAGGATTAGTGGTGTTGAGCATCTTTTCATATATACCTTTTGGCCATTTATATGTCTTTTTGCAGAAGTGTCTATTCAGGTCTTCTGCCTGATTTTTATTTCCTTGCTATTGTTTGAGTTCCTTACATATTTTGGATATTATCAGATATATGGTTTGCAAATATTTTCTCCCATTCTGTACATTGCCTTTTTACTCTGTTGATTGTTTCCTTTGCTGTGCAGAAGCTTTTTAGTTCGATATAGTCCCACTTATTTTAGCTTTTGTTGCCTGTGCTTAGGTGTCACATACAAGAAATCATTGCAGGGTGGGCGCGGTGGCTCATGCCTGTAATCCTAGCTGTGGCAGGTGGATTGTTTGATCTCAGAAGTTCGAGACCAGCCTGAGCAAAAGCAAGACCCATCTCTACTAAAAATAGAAAGAAATTACTTGGACAGCTAAAAATATATAGAAAAAATTAGCCGGGCATGGTGGTGCATGCCTGTAGTCCCAGCTACAGGAGGCAGGAGGATCCCTTGAGCCCAGGAGTTTGAGGTTGCTGTGAGCTAGGCTGATGCCATGGCACTATAGCCCGGGCAACAAAGTGAGACTCTTGTCTCAAAAAAAAAAAAAAAGAAAGAAAGAAGAAATCATTGCCAAGACCAATGTTATGAAGATGTTCTGCTATGTTTTCTTCCAGGAGTTTTATAATTTCAGGTCTTATGTTTAAGTTTTTTGTGCATTTTTAGTTGAGTTTTGTGTATGGTATAAGATAAGGGTCAAATTTCATTCTTTTGCATGTGGATACCCAGCTTTTCCCAACACCATTAGGAAGGGACTATCTTTTCCCTGTTGTATAATCTTGGCACTCTTGTTGAGGATCATTTGATCATATATTTGGCTGTGGATTTGTTTCTGGGCTTTGTATTCTGTTCCATTCATCTCTATATCTGTCTTTATTCCAGTTGCCATACTGTTTTGATTACCATAGCTTTGTAATATATTTTGAAGTAAAAAAGTGTGAGGCCTCCAGTTTTGTTCTTCTTTCTCAAGTTGGCTATTTGGGGTCCTTTGTGGTTCCATATGAATTATAAGATTTTTATTTTATTTTATTTTGGAGAAAAATGCCATTGGTGTTTTGATAGGAATTACATTGAGTCTGTAGATTGCTTTGGGTAGTTTGGACATTTTAGCAATATTGGGTCTTCCAATCCATGAACAAGGGATGTCTTTATACTTACATGTGTCTTTTTAAATTTTTTCAGTGATGTTTTGCAGTTTTCAGTGTACAAGTCTTTTGTCTTCTGGCTTATGTTTATTACTAAGTATTTTATATTCTTTTTGGTGTTATTGTAAATGGGATTGTTTTCTTAATTTCCTTTTTGGTTAATTTTTTGTTAGTGTACAGAAACAAAACTGAGTTTTACATATTGATTTATGTCTTACAATTTTGCTGAATTTATTTATTAGTCCTAATAGATTTGTGTGTATGTGTGTGTGTGTAATCTTCAGGGTTTTCTACATATAAGATCATGTCATCTGTAAACAGAGATATTTTTACTTCTTTCTTTTTTATTTGGATGCCTTTTATTTATTTATTTTTTCTTGCCTAATTGCCTTAGCTAGGAATTCTAGTACTATGTTGGAAATGGCAGGAATGGGTATCCTTGCCTTGTTTCTAATCTTAGAAGAAATCTTTCAGGCTTTCACCATCAAGTATGATGTTAGCTGTGGATTTTTCATATATAGAAATTATATTGAAGTAATTTCCTTTTATTCATAGTTTGTTGAGTGTTTTTTTGTCATGAAAGGATGCTGAATTTTTTCAAATGCTTTTTCTGCATCTATTGAGATAGTTTTATGAATTTTATTCCTTATTCTGTTAACATAATGTATCACATTGATTGATTTACAT